TGAATTTATACATAATATCCAGTGTTGGGAAGTTTTTAAAATTTAATCCCCTACAGATTACAGATTACACACCCCAAAATGTAGTTTGTAATAGAATCCATTAAATTACTTAAAGTGAGTAATGTAATCTGATTACTTTGGATTACTTGATTTGCTGTAGAGAAACAAAGACGAGGAAATCTTCACATCAGAAGTTTTATCTGCTAAAAGAAAATAAAAAGTCCAGATTTTACTGAACCGTTTAAAAATATTATTGATAGATGGTTTCGTCCTGTTAAATCCTGTTTTAGTCCTGGTTTAGATCTAGTTTAGACTTGGTTCAGTCCTGGTTTAGTCCTGGTTCAGTCCTGGTTCAGTCCTGGTTTAGTCCTGGTTCAGTCCTGGTTCAGTCCTGGTTTAGTCCTGGTTTTAGACCTGGTTTAGATCTAGTTTAGACCTGGTTCAGTCCTGGTTTAGTCCTGGTTTAGTCCTGGTTTAGTCCTGGTTTACACCTGGTTTAGACCTGGTTTAGTCCTGGTTTAGTCTGGTTTAGAGTCCTGGTTTAGTCCTGGTTTAGTCCTGGTTTAGTCCTGGTTTAGTCCTGGTTTAGTCCTGGTTTAGTCCTGGTTTAGTCCTGGTTTACACCTGGTTTAGACCTGGTTTAGTCCTGGTTTAGTCCTGGTTTAGTCCTGGTTTAGTCCTGGTTTAGTCCTGGTTTAGACCTGGTTTAGACCTGGTTTAGTCCTGGTTTAGTCCTGGTTTAGTCCTGGTTTAATGAGTGGAATTACTAAAAAAAAGAAAAAAAGGGATTTAGCCCAAAATGTGAAAACAGGACAATACCGCCGTGTAATCCATTTACTTCAGCAAAGTAACTGTTGTTGCAGTACAGTTACTCATCATTTGTACTCTGATTACTCTGGTACATGTAATCTGTTACTCCCCAACACTGATAATACATAATGATAATCTATAAATTCACCGCAAATCAGAGCCTCTGCCATTATTTTTCTATTTTACTGACTTTTTTAATCTTCGTTCAGACTGCAGGGTTTAAAACTCAGTTCGGATTTTCTTGTGAAATTCATTTTTTTTTTTTTTTTTTTTTTTTTCATGCTCAGCGTTTATGGAAGTCGCCTAAACCTGGACGCAGCATCGACACTCGCTGTGTGTGACGTCGTCGTCGTCGTCAGTGTTTGGAGTAAAGTGTTATAAAAGTAATGAATTGAATTAATGAAGAAAGAAGAGAGAAAAACAAAACAGCTCCATCTGGTGGTCGCAAAAAAGAACAACAAGCACAACTCCCTCTGGTGGTCAAATAAAATTTAGTCCTGGTTTAGACCTAGTCCTGGTTCAGTCCTGGTTTCAGTCCTGGTTCAGTCCTGGTTTAGTCCTGGTTCAGTCCTGGTTAGTCCTGGTTCAGTCCCGGTTCAGTCCTGGTTTAGTCCTGGTTTCAGTCCTGGTTTAGTCCTGGTTTAGTCCTGGTTTAGTCCTGGTTCAGTCCTGGTTTAGTCCTGGTTTAGTCCTGGTTCAGTCCTGGTTTAGTCCTGGTTCAGTCCTGGTATAGTCCTGGTTTAGTCCTGGTTCAGTCCTGGTTCAGTCCTGGTTTAGTCCTGGTTTAATCTTCTCAGTTCTTTTGGTGACCTAAAGTTCTGCAGTAATAATGTAAAGTTTTATATTTTAAACACTGTCATGTTGTAAAGTAACGAATCACTTTAAAATGACAGAAACACGTCATAAATAAATAAAACTTTACAGTTTTAAAGTCACTTGCCCCACAGTGGTCGTCGTGTCTCTAATGTTCGTGTGTGACACGTTTGGGGCGTTTAAATTTCACACTGGAGATTCACACAAAACTGTTTAACTGGAAATGTGAACGAAACGAAACGAGCTCATGAAAAAAAAAAAAAATCTGATTTCACCAAAAAAATCCAAACTGAGTAAGAGCCCTGAATCTGTGTGTCGTTCGTTCATTTGTTTTTCAATATAAAACCAAAAATAAGAAAATGAAAAAATAACAGTTTTCTTCATTATTTGTCTCCAAAACCAAAATGAAAAAAACAGAAAATGATTTGTTTTTTCAGTTTTCAATATTGTGTTTAAATGAAGAATGGAAAAAAATGGATAATTCCCGTTTACGTGACTTCAGTGACTGAGGCCGAACTGAACCAGGACTGATCCAGGTCCGAGACCAGACCGGGACCAGACCAAGACTGAGCCTCTGGTCTGGTCCTGGCCTGGATCAGTCCTGGTTCAGTCGTCACAGTCACTGAAGTCACGTAAACGGGAAACAGTCGTTATCTGTTTTTTTCCATTTTTCATTTAAACACAAAATCAAAAACTGAAAAAACAAATCATTATCTGTTTTTTCATTTTGGTTTTGGAGACAAATAATGAAGAAAACTGTTATTTTTTCATTTTCTTATTTTTGATTTTATATTGAAAAACAAATGAACGACGACACACGTTTGGCTCTGCAGTCTGAACGCAGAGTAAGAATCCTGAGTCGCTTTTTAAAAAAAAAATCTGATCTTTGTGGTTCAGACATTAAAAGATCAAATACAGGAGCAAAGGAACGAGAAAAGATCAGGTTGTGGTCACCTGAGGCTGAAGTCTGAACGGAGACTAAAGACGCCACGTAAACGCGACGCTGTAAAAGAAGAAGAAGAAGACGACACGTTTGTCCACGAAACTGCAGCGATTTTTCCGTTGATACTTTAAGCAGCAGAACTTCAAATAAACCAACGACAGAATAAAATATCAAAATGAAAATATCACTGAGACAAACACAAGATGAACTTTAAATGAAATACAGGAAATAGACGTCGAAATGGAAATGGAAAAATGAAATAAACTGTTGAAATTCAAAAGAACAAATGGAACATGGACCAAATGTGAAAGATGGAAAAAGGTTTTTAAAACTTCACTTCACTTTGTCTTCCAAATACAACAGCTCCTCTGAAAATAAAACGTTTAAAGGTTTAATCGTACGAGAAACGGACCCGTGGGAGATTTAACTCGTGTTTCCTCCTCGAAAACAGAACTGGAGTCGTGTTTTGGTTCATTCACACTTTATTATGAGTCTGTTTACATCTCGAACATCTCTAAAAAAAAAACATCTCTACAAAACTCTAAACGCTCTGTTCCACCTTGTGATGTCACAGCTCCTTTTACCTTCAGTGCAGTGGAGGTTTTACACTTCCAGGAGTAAAATGCTCCAGATGATGAGTTTAAAGAGCCACTAAACACACATCACTTTTTCCCCTCCTGAACAGAGTCTTAATTTGTCGTTTTTGTTCATATTTGTTAAAAATGTGACTTTTGGGTCAGAGTCGTGTCTGTGTCGGCGTCTTTAGGATCAAGTTTTGGTTGAGTTTTGGTGTTTGACTCGCGGTGTCGATGAGTCAGACGCCGGTCGACGTGAGGAGCTCCTCCCAGCCCCGTCCCCCCGACCTGCAGTGTTGGAGAGTTTACTTTTAAAATGTAATCCCCTACAGATTACAGATTACACACACCAAAATGTAGTTTGTAACCGAATCCATTAAATTAAAGTGAGTAATGTAATCTGATTACTTTGGATTATTTGATTTGCTGGAGAGAAACAAAGACGAGGAAATCTAACATCAGAAGTTTTGTCTGATAAAAGAAAATAAAAAGTCCAAACTTTACTGAACCAAATTAAAAATATTATTGATAAAAGATGAAGAAACACGTCCACACAGCAGGATTTAGTCCTGTTCAATCCTGGTTTAGACCTGGTTGATTGATTGATTGATTGATTGATTGCATTTATACAGCAACTTTCAAGATCCCCAAAGCTCTTTACACTTCATTATTCAGTCACTCCACACTTACTATTGTAGCCACAGCTGCCCTGGGGCAGACCGACGGAAGTGAGGCTGCCAATCTGTGCCATCGGCCCCTCAGACCACCACACACACACACACACACACACACACACACACACACACACACACACACACACACCACTTTCATACTAGGCAATGTGGGTGAAGTGTCTTGCCTAAGGACACAACAACAGTTTTTTGCCAGTGGCGCCTCCTGTGGCTCCTGGATTTCCCAGTGTCTCCATCCAAGTCCAGACCAGGACCAGACCTGCTGATCTTCTGAGATCTGACGGGATCAGGCTTTGACAAGCTGGTTTGGCCACACAAGACCTGGTTTTAGTCCTGTTGTAGTCCTGGTTTCCTGGTTTAGGCC